TACATCCTCTAGGTAGTTAACCAAACATTTTTTCTCCCTTGGGTGGCTTTGCTGGAGCTGAACTTCTTCCTGTGTGAAGTAACTGGTATCTTGCAAAGCTATGCTTTCAAAGTAGCTTCCCCAACACTACCTGGACTACAAACGGACTACAAATAGAAACCAGAAAGCTTCCAATACAAAAGTCTTGTCCAACAGATTCATGGCATTCATATGCACGTCTGTTTATATTTCACGTGAAACAGACACAGGAAGTGTGTGGTTTGTTTTAGCAAGCTATAATGAGTTGGCGTGAGAACACTTTTGACAGCATGAGAAATGCTTGATAACTTTATTAAGTCGATGATCAGTCTGTGTAATAAAATACCTGGTCCCAGCAGGGTCCACCTCTTTGCTTTGCTGCTGATGGTGGGAGGTTACACTTCGGGAGTTTCTGTAGGGGATTTTTTTTTTTACCACTGTGTTTCTTCCACTTCTTATCTGCACTATAAAGAAACAGAAATATAACATGTTCTCATTGGGCAATTATGTAATGCATAACACAAAGTGATATCTACTACAACGTTACTGATGAGATATGTGGTCAGCATACATTTCTCTTGGAAAATACATGATGAATACACTCCGTATCTATGAGGAAAGTTCTCTTGGAACTCAGTCATGTGTGGTTTATGACTAATTTATTGTTAACTCACTGGATGTAAAGCTATATGAAGAGAGATTTAGTTATGAAACCCTTATAAAACCTACATGCAACATCTATCCAGGCTTCAGTGTATTACGGAATTTCTAATGAAGGTTTAAAAAAAAACTAGTGTCAGACGGCCTTTTCTGTCATAATACTGCATAGAAGTTTAATAGCTACGGCATGTTTTGTGTCTTTTTTATAGCCTACGCACAAAGATAAAAGAATCTGAGACAGAGGTTGAGATTCTAGCTCGGCTGCAAACTCTTGGTAAAAGTTAGGAACAGGTGGTGCTATTGGTTTAATGTTGGAAAAAGTCAAAAGGGACAAAGGAGAAAAGACATTTTTTCCAACACATATCTGAAACCACATTCTTTTACGAACTTTAAAGGTGCAGTATGTAGAATTTCTTTCTTCTTCTTTAATTACCTTTATTTAACCAGGAAGACCTGGCAGAGGTAGCAGCCATTAAAAACATATTAATGTGCAACAAATACAACATATAATACAAAAATCCACAGTAAAACAACAACTATTCAAACATAGTGGCCTCTTAAGAAAAAACAAGCACATCTCGGTCACCACATTCTTTATGATGCCCTTAAATTCATCAATGGATGTAAGTGTTTCTAATTTTAGATCTTTTTGAAGATTGTTCCATGCCCATGGTACAGAGTAAGAAAATACAGTTTTCCCCTGATTGGTTAAAACCCTGTGTACATTAAAAAGCATAGCTGGTAACTAGCAGAGCAGATTTAGTGGCATCTAGCTGTGAGGATTGCAGACTGGAACCAACTGAAACTTCTCCCATATGTCAAGTGTGAATTCCTGGTTGAAATTTGTTCAGGAGGTTTTTATTGGTAGCCAAATTTTCTGCAGAGATCTCCTCCTCTCCAAAACAAACAGTTCAGGTGATTAAAACCTTAAAACCTCTGTTGCCCTAAACCTACCAACATGCAGGACTCACGACATGGATGCTGGTCTTACATGTCAAGGTTCCATGTTTCCCTCAATGGAAAAGTTTTTACCAAGTAACATAATCCAAGCTGCAACTACATTTCCTGACAAAATGTAATTAGCAAAAGAAATAAAAAGTGTAATCTGGGAGACAGATTGTCTGCAGTGCATTAAGATCCAAATCACAGAGATGGCGCCTGTCAACTGTTGTAAGGTTCTCAGCTGATCTCAGCTGGTCAGCAAACACCACAGGGATAACCAAACAGCTTAACAGTGCCTGCATTTCTTACTGTAATGCACCAAAATAGGCCAGCTTGAAAATAAAGTGTCTGATCAATTTGTAGTGTTGACAAATGAAGTATTCGCAGCATCTGGTTGAGCTACAACTCAATGAAGGAAGAAAACAGTGGCATGCACCTTAGTTTTGCTCTTCCTATCATTATATCTCTTCACGCAATCACCATGGGAGGTAAGCATAGGCCACTCTGAAGTGCCCACCTTGGATACAACAAATGCAATTTTAGGACATGTAGCAGTGAGGTGAAACTGACTCCAGATCCATGGTTAACCAAGTCATAAAGCCCCCAGATCTGCCAGCCCCTGCCCTTAAATGCAATTTTTCATTTTATGTCCCAACATACTCTCTGGCCAGTATTTCCCCTATTGGCAAAACATTGCGCAAAGTACAGAACTTCTCACGGGACAATACCCTGAATGTGCACTGTATTGTGCATATTGTAGACCAGACTGTCTTCCTTTTTCTCTGTCTGATGATGTGCTGATCCAACCTTTACCATTTGCACTATATGAATACCAAGTGAAACTGCTAATGTCTGTAAAAACTCAGGAGAAGTGAAACCGATCTAACACAAGGTAAATTTTGTAGTGTATGTGGGAATGTACACTGCAGTACATACATCACATCTGTGTGATCTGCAGCCATGAACTTTTGAACTCTGGTGTGATTACCCTTTTTGACTTCCTGACATGCTGTAACTCAGACATATGTGACCATTCCAGAAAGAAACCACCCACAAATTTGTTATTGCTACATACATTTTTGTCTTTGGAATTTTTTTTGGAATCACTACCTTGCTGAGTTCTATAGAACCAGGTAACAAGAGTAAATTCATGACCATCATGTTTCTATTTTATCTATTCATAATAATTTGGAAAGACCTAATTTTTATTTAAATCAAGTGCGATACAGGATGGTGTAGGGTACTTACTTTGTTTGTCCCTTTTATCTCCTGTGGGGCACAGGGCCACAATTGTATAAACTTTACAATAAATTAAATCCATAACCTCTTTAAAATTTGTGCAATATTTCAGAAAAAAAGGTTTTTACCTGGCCAAACGTCCTGTAACATCCTAGCTCAACAAATAACAAATAAGCAATTATGATTTTGCAGACTGTGTTTTTGCATTAACACTTCCTGTGCACATTGAAAAATGTTTAAAATGCTTAAAATGTTGCAGATGACCAATATAAATGTTAAAGATAGTAATGCAGCAAGAGGTCAAAACTCTGTACCAACCTCGGGACTCACCTCAACCAAAGTATTAGACAAATTAAAATTTTGACCTGATGATGGCGCTGATGAAAAGTCAGAGGATGACCAAAGAGATTAGAAATGGTCCTCAAGGGGGAAATGAATATGTTCACCAAATTTCATGGCAACTGATCCAGCAGTAGCCAAGAAATTTGACACAAATATCACAAATGTAGCCCTAAGAGATCAGAGAATCACCAAAGACATAATTATACATCTTCTGGGGGCCATGACCGTCTGGACAAAGTTTTGTGCCAACCCATCCAGTAGATGTCCAGAAGATACATCCTATGGGAAACGTGAATGCATGTACAAAATTTCATGGTAATCCATTCAGTAGTTGCTGAGATATTTGGTGGTTCCTGGTGAAGGTGTTCATCTTCAGATATATTTACTAGTTAGCTAAAGTGTGTTGTTACATATTTTCTCCAGTCTTTGTGTGGCAGCAATGACAAACCACATGGGAAGATCATCACCTACTAAATGCTGTAAGCACATGTACTAACTGGTTTATTTTGCATGCCCAGACACTGAAGTGAATTCCCAGTGACCTTGGACCTGTTTCCAGTTTAAACATGCATTCAGAAATACCAGTTTGCCAAACTTTTTCAGAAGTTAAAGAAAGCTAAATGCAAATGTTCACTGTCCTAATGTTGTGACAGTCAAAATAACTTTGTCTTTCTAAAGAAAAATTTGTATCAGTGCAAGCTGTTGCAATCTCAAGACAAAAAGAATAACTGAAAAACAATAGGAACTCTTAAACAATTACTTAAGTTCAGAAAATGTTTACTCATCAAACAAATAATAACAGTATGCCTATATAGGACATATTGGTCAATCTGTCTAACAGGAAACAACAGAGCAGTGTATCATCAGATAATAAGACAAAATTACATCAGTGATTTTAAAAGTCAAGTGACAGGAAAATAAACGGGCTGGGTACATACCCTTGAGGTACTCCACTCTGTATTGTGAAGGGTCAGTATTTCAGACTTCTAACATTTGTCTTAACTTATTTTAAGTAAAATGGTGGAAGGCATTAACCAGTCTAAAGGCCACATTTGAGATTTTGATTTTGGGAGTTTAATTGGAAGACTAAGGCCATCTTTTTTACTCGACAAATCTAGAAATTTCCATTAAAATCTCAACATATAAGTAATTAGTGCAACATTTTCAGAAATACAACTGTTTAATTTCTTTCTGACAGTTAAATGAGAAGACTGAGACAGCTCTAATGTGTGTGAGTTAAGTATGGAGGAAGAAATGGGAGCTTAGCAAAAGACTGGCATCAGTATATTTCCCAAAATGTTGAGCTACTCAGACATCATTCACGACAATTCTGAAAGATCAAATAACTGTTTCATCTACTGTGTTGAAACAGTATTGTAATAGCATGCAAACTATTCCTGTGTAGTTTTTTTGACACATTAGATTTGATTATTACCTCATTTAACACACTGTGTATTGCTTAATAAATACAGACACTGATTTGGTTTACTGAGATGCCTTGTGTTAATACATTTTAAATGCCTTCTTTAATTGGTTTCTATTCACCGCAGCCTTTGGCAATCCCAGCTCAACATAGCTCAAATCCTTTTCAACCTCAGTTCAGTACAGCTCAGATTAGCTCAACAGAGTGTGAAACTGGTTTTAGTTTGTAAGAGCCTGAGTCTATTTCCCCTAATCTGAACAGAAGGTTTTACAATGCCATCAATACAACCAGTTTAATTATTAAGGAACCCAAAATGACTGGGAAAAGGGAGTAGGTTGGTAGTCAGGCAAACGTTAAAGATTGCGAGTGTGGGAGGGGCAGGACACAGACAGAGATGACAGTTGGAAGAAAGGATGAGTTTGCAGAGAGTCTGCTTCAGCAAGAAAGGGAAATTTGGGTCAGATAAAGGAAAGTGGGGAAGAAGTAGAAGAAAGAAGAAATAACAGTTGCGTCAGACAACAGGCATCCAAGATGTATAAAACAACTCATATAATTTTTATTTGCTCTCAATTAAATTATTTCAACCAATATATCCAAAGAATAGTCAAAGAAATGAGCAGAAATCAAAAGACAACCACTATACTGTATATTGCCATCGAATATAACAACTCAAATAATTAATAATTGTATCAAACAATCTCAAATATCCAGAATTCATTGGTTCTAATAAGACAATGACAGTACCTTTGTGTAAAGTCAAAACATTATTCACTTTGCTTAAATATTATGGTAATAATCTTGGTTTCTTAAAGCTCACAACGAAGAATGTGGTCTGGTTCGGCTCGGAGTCCGGCTCTGTATGCAGTGAAGCCCCCTTTGGCTGACTGGTAGTGGTCTCGATTCCAGAGTGACAGGTTCAAAACATCAGTCCGTTGCCAGGGTTGTACTGCCGTGAGCATCCATCCATCCATCCATCCATCCATCCATCCACTGATGAAGAGGAACAGAATGAAAGCAAAAAGAGGCTCTGGGTCTCACACACAATGTGGGAGTTAACAGAAATCATCGGGAACAAATCACCGTCATGTATAGGTCTATGCATAATTTATGGAAGCTGTACAGAGATTATTGTAACAAACATTAAAAACAAAGCCTGGTGAAAATGCTCACCGACCTTCAAAAAGCATAGAATTCTTAAATTAAACCAGAGAAAATGAGAATGTTTTTGGAGGGACACCTCCTTTTTTCCCTTTATCAGTTTTTATCAATACTTCATGGCCAGACAGAAAACAAACATACCGTATCAACATAAGACGTTTATTCTCCTCCATATTAAAAGAGGCTGAGAGAAATGATTGTGTCATTTACTCTTTTATCTATATTTATTTGATTATTATTTTTTTTATCTAAATGGGTGGTCATGCAAATAGAAAAAGCCAAGTCCTTTATGCTTTTAGCTTGTTGGTAAAAGTTGGCAGGTCACCTCTTGGCCAGTTCTTGATGACTTGACTAATTGCTGATTACTGGGTTACAAGGTGAGCTGGCTGCTTTGCAGTCTCTTGGTGCCTTTTACCTCAAGACATAACTAGCCTTTAGTCAGCTAGTCTTTACAACTAGCTACATGTTTCTGTATACACCATTTAACTGCACTTTCTCAGTACATAGGTTTAGCAGTCGCTTCACACTTCTTATCTTGATAATCTTGCTGGAATCCATTTCTTTTAAGTCAACCATTTTAGCTTCTAAGAACCAAACCAGGTAGCTCACTAGCTGGCCAGGAATTGTTTCAAGAGGTTGACTTGTTGTTTTAAGGTGGACTGGTATTCCAAAATCATTGCTTTAAGTCTGCCTCATTTACTGACAAGCCACCTAGTCAACAGATAGATGGATACACTGACAACTCAGATAGGTAGAAGACCGACTGGCTTTCTGAGATTACGCTACTTTTGTTTTTCAGTCGACTGATACTTCCGAGCAGTTAAGCAGCTGACAAATCAACTTGTTTCCGATTACACAGCTGGTGTGTGAGCAGACAGCAATTCGAGATTTTTTTTGTGCTCCGAGGTCCAATTTGGTCGCTTGTACGACAGATGGTGCACTCCTGTTTGTGGATACCTCCTCACTGTTTAGGTATCCTGGACCTTTTCACTGACTTTCCCAGTTCATCACATCCACATGTCCATAACTGTCAACAAACCCTCTGCATCCCTCGAATGTGTATGACCAGTCATGTTGTATAACAGTGCTCCTTTCCAATGATCATGGCTACACAGCTTACAAAGCAGTTTGAATCAGTCTGTAACCAGTTGGTATGTCCAATACCAGCATACAATCAGTTTTATAATCTGAATCTGTCTGTCTGTAAGCAGTCTGAAGCTGGTATATCCAACCATTGTGAATCCAAGGCTTATTCAGTCTTCAAGCAGTCCTTTGTTCACAGCGTGGGATGAAGTGGCCCAAAACTAGTCTGCGGGCAGTCCTCAAGCAGTCCCTCCTGAAAAACTAAGGCTGTACACAGTCCAAAAACCCCAATGAGAACCAGTCGACCAACCAGTCTACCCCATTTCCAAAGCCAGTGTAAAAGCAGTTTATAAACCGGTCTGTAATCCAGCACCAGTTGAGGAGTCCCTCTACCAGATGTCAGAGCTTAGTTCTCTGCTGGTGAGCGGTACGAAGGTGCTGTTCAGGTGGAGTTCTGGTTTCTTCCCAAGCGTACTGCTCTGAGAAACCTGGAAAAAAAACAAGTGCAACAGTGATCAGCAGGAATCTCCCTGAAACCACAGCTGCTAGCAAAATATACAATTAAAAAAAGAAAACAATATACAATATATACAGTGCTACTGCATGCCAATAATGCACCATGCCTCATATATGACAACTATACTGCATATGACAGCTAGTTCCCAGTCTGTTAAAATAAAAAAATATATAAATATTTAAGGTTTAACAATGTGGAGATTCTATTTTCTTTCTACATTCTCTTTTTATCCAAACAGACCTCTTGTTCCCCAGTGAACTGCTCTGAACCCCTGGGGAGAAAAGAGGGGTTTTATTTTTAATGTGATAAAACTCATGCACAAAACAACACACAAGAAAAGGATACACTGTGTAGATGTTGGATGCTAGAGACTATCCAAGAACTGTAAAAAACAACAAGTGGTCCTGTCTTTTCTCCCACCTGTCCATTCAGCAGTGTCATGGGGATGTTGCAATAGACGTGGCGCCCCCCGGGGCCCAGAGTGGAGAACTGCACGGTGGAGGGAGGTGGGAGAGGAGGCGACAGGGAGGGAGACTGTGTGGGAAGCTGGAACTCGTAGCTGCGGCAGAAATGCCTCATTTGGGCTGCTGTGGCAGTGTGACCGCCTCCCAGTGGCAATGTCATCTGGTTGTAGTCAGGGATCTCTGTCGCCAAGGCAACCTGTAGTATAGTGGTAATGATATGATTCTCTGTTAACTTTTAACACCTTAAGTATTATTCGAAGAGGCAATTAATCTTTTTAAGTTATTAATTATCACATTCTGAAAAGATTTTTAGACGTTACATAAACTGTGAAAACAAGCAACAACAAAAAACATGAACTTAATGAAGAGTTTTAAAATAAATGAAGCTGGGGCCTTTTTTTCAGCAGGAACCCCAAAGTGAGAAAACCTTGCCTCATTTTTGTTTGTATTCTGATGGAATAATTAGGATATCTTTGACCACTAGCTCAATGCAACACTCCAATCTGGATCTTTTTAAATGTACTGTCAGACAGTGGTGGAAGTTAACAGGAAGCAGTACAGCCAGTGAGGCAGCACTAGGACCTGATGTCTGTCATACATGGGCCATCACAGTCTGCAGTCTCTTTAAAATGTAGGGATGTATCTGCATCTAAATTTGTTTATTAGGAATGGACAAATATTGTAATGGACACAGATATTTATTCTACCTTGAGTTGTGTGTTATTATTTGGGTTGGGTGAGGGGAATGATTGACATGTCTGTTTCTTTCTTTCTAAATATGTATCACTGATTTCACTAACTAGTCATTTGAATTACTAGGCATTGTTTAAAACTGATGGCTGTATTTTGTAGTCACCCCCACTGAGTCAGCCCACAGCAGGCAGTGAGCTGACAACTGACCTATTCTGGTTATCACTCTAACATCGAGGCGGGGGAGGCGACGTGTGCAGGAGTAGCAGGACAAAAGCCTAGTGTGGCACCTGGATCTATTTCAAAGCCCTGGAAATTATGCCTGACAACAAAGCTTAGAACCTGTGGTTTTAAGCTGTATGTGTTAGTTTCCTCTATTAAAACCCCCCAAAACATTTTATCGTCTATTTCAGTCAATATTCATTTGTGTAAGCTGTAACACGCTGTATGTATCTGCCTTAGGTCTCATTGACTTTTGACTTAGCGTCCAGTAACACCCTACCATGTATTTCATGGTTACCTAAACACATGGAAATAAAAAGAGCTGGGCAGTTAGTCCTTAGAAAAATGTCCTTGAAAAAAAAACAAAAAAAAAAATGTGTGTATCAGTTATTAAAGTATATTGACTCATTTATATATTCATACTTACCTATGCTTATATACTCATTTATTTAATTTATTATTAATTAATTAATTAATTTCAAGATTTATTTCATAAGCATATTTACTTATTTATGTATTTAGTTATTTAACATTAACTTAAATCGCAGTGGTGGGGTTAGGATTAGGGATGTCAACAGTTAACAGTTAATCAGTTGACCAACGAGAATATTTTTTAAAGGTTGCACATGTCATTCTATTAGTTAAATTTGCTACTCTTCACTCTACTGCAGAGCACACCACCAGGGTCTGGTAGGAGCTAGCTAGCATTGCACTCATTAGGCTATTACCATTGCTGTTTTTTGCCCTCCCTCTGGTTCCCCCCGGTCACCCCAGTGGGTTAGCAGTTTAGTTTTCAGCCATAAAGCTCCCTTTAGCATTGTTGACTTTGTTATCACTATTAGCTCTGTTACCACTGTTAGCAGCATCAGCACGGCTAGTGGTGCTAACATGAGGATTAGTGGGGCAACCTGGGGGTAGATGGGAGGATGGGAAAAATATTTTTCGCAGCAACAATCTTCGCCATTGGGGCAGCGTTACCAGCTGTAATCACTCAATGAGCAGCACAGCTAGCGAGCTAACGTTAGCTCCCACCCCATCTGTGTGGTGCGCACTGCTGAGGAACCAGTTGAGACGATGTTGTGGAGTGGGCACTATGTTTCCACATCTTAATGTAGCTAGCTGTCTGTCTGTTAGCAAAGCCATAAATCAGTTTGATGCTATGAAGGCACAGCAGTTGCATTGCCAACACAAGGTTAGAAAATACAGGAATATAAATTTCCTGATTTACCATGACTTCCAGCATAAACCATGCCCACTTCCCTTCTTCCATCTGAATACAGATACAGATAATGACGTCTCTGTACACATTTATTAACACGTAGAGGAACCAAAGCACTTTTAAATAAGTTAACCCACATGTATTATTGTTCCAATATACTTGGAATTATATGCCACTGGCCTGCATAAATGCCATTGCTTTGTTTAATTCATTTTCAGATACACAGTAGGTGAGTAGACTATTTTTAGTTGGGCTGGGGGTGTTTTAAGATTGGGCGCCAACATGTTATGAAACACACCACAGGAAAACACATCTTTACAACAAACAACAACAAAAAATCATGTTTAACAGCTTCAAGATGGGTTCATTTACAGTGTTACAGTAGATTATGTAAATTAGTCTAATTCCTTGTCCATGAATGTTTCTGTAAAAGCCTGACCTATAAATTCTAAGATTTGTGGGTAATACTGTGCGTGTGTGTGTGTGTGTGTGTGTGTGTGCATCTGTGTGTGTGCATCTGTGTGTGTGTAATTCCTGTGCGCTCATCTCATACGTAAAAAAAAATCTTACACTAGGGCTCGTCATCACTACCTAACACCACTGATTCAACAAACACCAAGCCTAAGCAACAACATCAGTTTGAAGTAATACACATGCAACAGCTGACCTGATGATGCCCATGGCGACTCTCATTAGGGGGTGCCAAGGAGGCGGAGGTGGTTGTCATGGCAATAGTGGAGACGGTGGTCTGCAGGTCACCAAAGAGGCCTTGTTCACCAGAGTCCATCACCTGTTGACAGAGAAACATGTTATATCGTTTGCAATGTGCAGATTTATACAAATGTTTGAGTCGTCAAGGAGACTTTATCTTTATGTAGAAGTTACCACAGTGATAGGAAATGTATTCATGGGTTAGGTTAAAATGATAAGACTTATGATAATATGATAATAATGATTATGTTTCTCAATAACGAATCCTATGAAAAAAAAAAAAAAATAACAACAGCAATGAATCAATCCTACAAATGGGAGTTGTTCTTGTAGCTACTGGGTGACATGTTCCTGTAAATACTTAATAGAGAATGAAATATATATAATTCACAGCAAAAAAAAAAAGTTCCCAACAAAAACACAATTTATATATCCAGTAGGAGTGATGACAGATAGCCTAAGGGCCTGTGTAGCTGTGTAACTTTTTTTTCTCAGCGCCAGCATCTTTTTACAATTGTTCCCAACGAGGAAAAAGCATTTGTGGCTGTCTAGACAAAAAAGACCACCCCAGCATCTTCTTCAGACTGCCTGGTCTTTTTTTTGTGCAGCTACTCTGAGCGCTTCTGGTAAAATATCTGTGAACTTTTCAGAAAGGCGCTGGTGTCGTCACTGCTGCTCCTTTATCTACCGTCTATCCCAAACTGTATGATATATCAGTCAGAAACTGTCACAACAAAGACAGAAAAGCCAATTTGTGGGAGCAGATTGGCTGGTCATTGAGTGTTGCTGGTGAGTGTTGTGCTTTTTTCACCATCCGTGTTGTAATCTTGTTGCTAAGTGGTAGTAAACCCTCTGTTAACAGAGCCTTGAGGTAGCTACCTAGCTAATGTTTGTGTCAAGATATGTTTGTCGGTGGAAGATTCTCAGTCATCCAGGTCATTGTAATCGTAAGTGCTATATTGTAGGCAGCTGGACTTGCCTGTGTTTCTTGAAGACGTTTCGTCTCTCATCCAAGAAGCTTCTTCAGTTCTAAGTGACTGGTATGAAGTTGCAGGCTATAAACCCTGTGTGGGTTGACAACTTAACACCCATTCACCCCTGGTCCCACCTGATGCTAACGACTCACATGGTGGCCAGGTGGGTCAACAACTCACATTGTGACCTTTACAACTGTGAAACTAAGAGTTCGCGTGACCCCTACGACTCTGTAATGGTTCCCACCCACACAGGGTTTATAGCCTGCAACTTCGCACCAGTCATTTAGAACTGATGAAGCTTCTTGGATGAGAGGCGAAATGTCTTAAAGAAATGCAAGCAAGTCCAGTTGCCTACGATATAGCACTTACGATTGTCAAGATATGGTTGTTTTAGAAACAAAACCCACGTGTAGCACTTCAGAAGAAAAGCACTCGGAGTGCTTTATTAATGAAGCTTTCCTCAGTACCCTGCCACCACCTTTCTGCCAGAGAAAACCACTATGTGGACACAGGCCCTAACACATGTTTCCTTCATTGACTGTAAGACAAATATAGAATAACACCTTACATCCTTATCATTTAAGTGAATTAACTTAACTTGGCTTTGGCTCAAGTTTCCTGTGAAGGATTTTATACCATTTCTAGTATTTCTTGAAAGTTAGTCTTGAAACAACAGTTGCCATGTCTTATGGCAAACCTTGTATCAGTACAGGTCACATTATGTGTATAGTATGCGTATAGAAAATAATATCTACAGTGATATGATGCTAATTAAGCCCAAAGGTTTAGAAAAAACAGTGAAATCATGGCCTTTGTTTGCTGTTGTACGAGTCCACTTTGTTGCATTTATGTATTTAGCTGATTTAAGGTAATACAGTCCAAGTTCAAGTGAACTATTACAGTTTAATAAAAGTGCCATGGACTCCATAAAACGTCCTCCCCCAAGGTTTTGGTGCTGTTGAGGTTTGAAAACACACCTGATTGTCATTCAGTGTATGTCGCTAGGCATGATGGATGGCTTGAATTCTTCAGAGTTCTTGTGCAATTTTTCAAGAAGTTAGCAAGTGTATTCCTTGGCCCATAAATTGAAGAAGTACTTCACCTCTTCTTGGCTATATTGTGTTATACCAGGCTTTCTAAGCATGAATAACTGCAGACGATAAGATGTCAATGTCTATACAGCCACTTAAACTGATAAAGCCCTGAAAGTTGGGTTTGTTTAATGTGTGGTGATTCTTTGTTGCTATAAGTTACAATGGCAATGTTCTCAGCTGGACTAATGCACAAAAGTAAAGGAGTAAAGATCACAACATATGAATGAGATAATACAATGCCATTTGTTGCAGTTACACACACTGAACAAAAACTACTTAAAACTTAACCATTCTGTTATTGCTCCCATTTTTCATAGGTTTAAGTTAAAGATCTAAGACTTTTTATACACACAAAAGCCTTTATATTAGATTTTGGTCCATCCAAATCTTAATCCATTGACGTGATAGGTGTGGCATATTAAGGTCCTGATTAAACAGCATCTTTACTACACAGGTGTGCCTTGGGATGGTCACAATAAAAGGCTGCTCTAAAGTTTGCAGTGAAATCTTAAAAAAAAGACATTTATTACAATATCACATGTGCTACAGAATTGCATTTCTTGGTCACAGATACCACAGAGAATCAGTCAGTATCTGATGTGACCATCATTTACTTCATGCAGTGTGACACACCTCCTCCACATAGAGCTGATCAGGTTGTAGATTGTGGCCTGTGGAATATTGGCCCACTCCTCTTCAAGGCTGTGTGAAGTTGCTGGATATTGGCAGGAAATGGAACACGCTGTCGTACATGCCGATCCAGAGCATCCTAAACATCCTCAATGGGTGACATGTCTGGTGAGTTTGCAGGCCATGGGGCCATGCATTACCATGCTGCACATGTGGTCATGGTGGCAGATGACTGGCACAACACTGGGTCTCAAGATCTTGCCCATACTGTAACCCCACAGCCACCGTGGGGCACTCTGCTCCCAATGTTGACATCACTGAACCACTCACCCACACAACATCTTACACAGTCTGCCATCTGCCTGGTAAGGTGTAAAGCAGGATTCAAGCCACCATGGGGTGCTTTGTTCACAATGTTGACACCAGCGAACCACTTGCCCTCAAAACGCCGTACAGTACATGCTGTCTGCCATCTGCCTGGTAAGGTCCAAAGTAGGATTCATCAGTGAAGAGAACACATCTCCTCCAGTGAAGGGAAAAGCTGCCCACTCAAGTCAGTTACGATGAAGAACTGTTGTCAGGTGAAGACCCTGGTAAGGATGACCATCATGCAAATGAACTTTGCTGAGACGGCAGAAATTCTGTGGTTGATGCATCAGCTGTCTGTGTGGCTGGTCTGTAATGATCTTGCAGATGAAGACGCTGAATGTGGAGATCCTGAGCTGGTGTGATTACACCTGGTCTATAGTTGTGAGGATGGTTGGATGTACTGTCAAATTCACAGCAATGACACTGGAGTTGGTTTGTGTCAGTGGGCAACAGCTGTGGTGGACGTTCCTGCAGTCAGCATGCCAGTGGCAGGCCCCCTAAAAACTTGTGACATCTGTTGCATTGTGTTTTGTGATCAAACTGCACATTTTAGAGTGGCCTTGCTGTTTAATCAGCATCTTGACATTCCACACCTGTCAGTTGGAAGGATTATCTTGGAAAAGAAGTGCTCACTAACATGGGTTTAAACACATTTGCAACAAAAATTTGAGAGAAATATATCTACTGAGGGCATTAAAAAATTCTTAGATCTCTAACTTGAAGCTGTGAAAAATGGGACCAAAAACAACAAGTGTTGCGTCAATTTTTGTTCAATGCAGTTCACTCTTTATTTGTTTCTCAATCATTATTCCCCAGTGCCAAGCAGCAGGAGAACATCACTTTGCTAATCAGGGCATACACCACCTGAGGTGTTAACACATGGCAAACATGTACACATTTTCCCCCATTGTGATTTCAATTTTCATACATTACCTGTATTTAGCAGACATTTCAAAGGCCATCTGTTTGTTGTGAGTGTATGTGCCGCAGGGGAGCATAAGTAAATGTTCAGACCAAATTTCCACAGCTATTGTTTTTCTAGGCTTCCAGACATGCCACTAAAATATTTTTTTTCTGTCTCTACACCTGTATGTATAGTCCCTCAGTAAAAGGAAAGGGTTTTAGTGCGTATTCTTTAAGATGTGCACATTAATCTGTTTTTTTATACTTCAGGACAGATTTCAGGATTGAACGAAAAAATAGTAAAGCATCTTCCTTTTATAGTATATCTCTTGGGAACTAATGAAGGTTTGGGGTTTCACTTAAACAAACAACTCCAGTGTGTGCATGATTGCGAGAAACATACGGAGAAACTCATTTTAGCCTTTTGTTTCTGGCGCTATACCTGGCGTCTGGACAACGTCTCCCTGCGTTTAGCAGGCATCTCATAAACCACCTGTTTCCAAAACTTAGATGACAGCTCATTGCTCTTAGGACCCCTCCACTTGATGATAGATAAAGCCTGAGGAGAGAAGAAGAGATTATTCAGGTGTCTTACTGCTTTTGGCCTCCTGGTGTCTAATGAATTTAGTTCACACCCTTCTTCCCTCCCTTTGTTCATTTCTCTCTCTGTGTACCTTGATTGTATGTTTCAGTGCCTCCACCTCTTGGTAGTTAATGACATTCTTCAGGTCTGCACACTCTATCATGATCACCTGGACACACAGAAACACAGAGGCAGAGGTGTTTAGGACAGAGCAACTCTTCAAGCACATTGTACAAAGCACTTCACAACTTTCTCAAACATGCAAAAACGTAATTACCGCACATGCCTGCCTGCATTTCCTGTTACCCCAATCATACCTTGATCTCCCCAGTGACCAGCATGGAGTGCAGGCGTGTCTCTATCTGGAAGATGCTCCACCCTCTTTTGGCGACAAACTCTGGAGTCAAAACGATGATCAAACGTCTGCTCTGCTCCACGCTACGAGCCAAGTCCTCAATGTAAGCTGGGAGACAGAGAGACGTGGAGACAAAGTTAAAACTGAAAACAGTAAGAGGAGATTCAGAGAAGGATGTCATGTAGAATCAGGTGAAGGTCAAACAGTTGGTGTTTTGCAATGTATTATAGAAATCTATGATATGTGTATTCTTATTGTTGTCAGTGATGCTGTTTTCTCCAGTTTTGACACACATTTTTGTATTTTAGTTTTTTGGTCTATTTCTTTACCTGACCATCGCTGTAGAGATTTACTCTGGCAAAATAAAAGAGGACTGACACTCTTCCCATTGACATGAGATGATTCCTATCAGCCTCATGTCTGTGTGGTAAGCATGGAGCTGGGGTCAGACTGTGGTTAGCCTAGCTTAGCATAAATCTAAAGGGGAAAAGCTAGCCTGGGTCTTTTAAAATTGATACAAAACACCTCTAAAGCTGACTAAGCAAGACCAGTATGCCTCATTTGTATCACCGGCACATGCACTGTAAGGAGTAATGTCAAAACAACAATTTGTGGTTATAGAGAGAATTACTTGCTGTAACTATTTCCTGGTAGACAACAGCTGGGTGCAGCGGACCATACACCTTCGAGAAGCATCGTCACAGTAAGGGCATGAAGTTTGGTGTATAAATCAGACAGTTTTAGAGTTGCTGCTAGGTGTATTCTAGTTTTTATACTAAGCTTGCCTACACATCTTGACGTTAGCTCTGTATTGAATGCACAGAAGAAAAAATGCAAAGAAGCATATGTCTCAAAATGTTGAACTTCTGAAAATTTTGCTTAGCCCAGAAACTTATTTATCTGTTCTACACAAAATACACTGAATGCGCTTAAGAAACTGACATATCTACAATAAAATCCTGGCTCCAATAATGGACCTGATTCGCTAGGTGGCTTTTGAAAGAAATAGTTCAACATTTTGGGATGTACAGTACAGGCCAAAAGTTTGGACACACCTTCTTATTCAATGCGTTTTCTTTATTTTCATGACTATTTACATTGTAGATTCTCACTGAAGGCATCAAAACTATGAATGAACACATGTGGAGTTATGTACTTAACAAAAAAAGGTGAAATAACTGAAAACATGTTTTATATTCTAGTTTCTTCAAAATAGCCACCCTTTGCTCTGATTACTGCTTTGCACACTCTTGGCATTCTCTCCATGAGCTTCAAGAGGTAGTCACCTGAAATGGTTTTCCAACAGTCTTGAAGGAGTTCCCAGAGGTGTTTAGCACTTGTTGGCCCCTTTGCCTTCACTCTGCGGTCCAACTCACCCCAAACCATCTCGATTGGGTTCAGGTCCGGTGACTGCGGAGGCCAGGTCATCTGCCGCAGCACTCCATCACTCTCCTTCTTGGTCAAATAGCCCTTACACAGCCTGGAGGTGTGTTTGGGATCATTGTCCTGTTGAAAAATAAATGATCGTCCAACTAAACGCAAACCGGATGGGATGGCATGTCGCTGCAGGATGCTGTGGTAGCCATGCTGGTTCAGTGTGCCTTCAATTTTGAATAAATCCCCAACAGTGTCACCAGCAAAACACCCCCACACCATCACACCTCCTCCTCCATGCTTCACAGTGGGAACCAGGCATGTGGAATCCATCCGTTCACCTTTTCTGCGTCTCACAAAGACACGGCAGTTGGAACCAAAGATCTCAAATTTGGACTCATCAGACCAAAGCACAGATTTCTACTGGTCTAATGTCCATTCCTTGTGTTTCTTGGCCCAAACAAATCTCTTCTGCTTGTTGCCTCTCCTTAGCAGTGGTTTCCTAGCAGCTATTTGACCATGAAGGCCTGATTCGCGCAGTCTCCTCTTAACAGTTGTTCTAGAGATGGGTCTGCTGCTAGAACTCTGTGTGGCATTCATCTGGTCTCTGATCTGAGCTGTTGTTAACTTGCGATTTCTGAGGCTGGTGACTCGGATGAACTTATCCTCAGAAGCAGAGGTGACTCTTGGTCTTCCTTTCCTGGGTCGGTCCTCATGTGTGCCAGTTTGGTTGTAGCGCTTGATGGTTTTTGCGACTCCACTTGGGGACACATTTAAAGTTTTTGCAATTTTCCGGACTGACTGACCTTCATTTCTTAAAGTAATGATGGCCACTCGTTTTTCTTTAGTTAGCTGATTGGTTCTTGCCATAATATGAATTTTAACAGTTGTCCAATAGGGCTGTCGGCTGTGTATTAACCTGACTTCTGCACAACACAACTGATGGTCCCAACCCCATTGATAAAGCAAGAAATTCCACTAATTAACCCTGATAAGGCACACCTGTGAAGTGGAAACCATTTCAGGTGACTACCTCTTGAAGCTCATTGAGAGAATGCCAAGAGTGTGCAAAGCAGTAATCAGAGCAAAGGGTGGCTATTTTGAAGAAACTAGAATATAAAACATGTTTTCAGTTATTTCACCTTTTTTTGTTAAGTACATAACTCCACATGTTTTCATTCATAGTTTTGATGCCTTCAGTGAGAATCTACAATGTAAATAGTCATGAAAATAAAGAAAACGCATTGAATGAGAAGGTGTGTCCAAACTTTTGGCCTGTACTGTATGTTAATTCATGTTAATTAGTAAGTATTAGAGGTGCTTGTAAGTGTATCTTTAGGAGTCAGGCTAGATGTTTCTTTTTCCAATATTTATGCTAAGCTAAGATAATCACCCCTAACATAATACCGTAAAGAGTTTTATTGATCACTTTACCTGAGTTGGAAATCAAGTGGTGCAGGAATGAGTCCTAAAATCTGTAAACGAGTTAGTGTTTTAGCACTCCCCGTTCCCTTATCTCAAGGTCAATGGGTTTTTTGAATGGGTTTGTTGTTAGATGCCTGATATAAGGTCTGAGGTTAACACATGCACAAGAGATATTCATGTTTCTCCAACATAAAATACGTTGGTATGACTTTTGAAGCTTTTAGGTGTCTTTGAAAAGATGGTTTCTAACAAGTGGCTAAATGAGACTGCAGCATCTCATCACACCAAACACGGCTTTACAGCCTTGTTGTGGTGGTGACATTTAGTCATACGATCATGGTGTAGTTCATTTGTAGCCTAATGTTAGATTTTTACTTCCAGCGATTGCATTTACACTTCAAAAATCATACTAGTGGCATTCATTTGCTGAGATTATCTTGACTTCCTGTTGAGAGAACCAGGCAAAGCTAACTTGTCCAACTACATTTGGGCCAAAAAAGTTTATAATAACGGTATTGTTGCATTATCTTTTGAAAATTTGATATACTACTATTAATAATAATATAATAACAACAATAATGCTATTTTGCATTTTGTCTTTTTTGGCAAATGAACGTTAACGGCTGGGCTCCACTGGGCACGTCAGCGGCGCGACATGTCTGCAGCGCGAGTCCCGTAGCAGCCCGCCCCCGTTAATCAATTACAGCGGCTGCACCAGCAACAGGAGCAGTGCGAAAATCCCCGTCTGTCGCGCGACAACTCTCTAGTTTACACAGCTCTTCTATTTTCGTCGTGCTACGCTCCCCTACGTGACCCTCCAACAGATATAAACTACATGCAATAGTATGCTAAATGAGCACAATGTGTTTTTTGAAATGAATAAACCATTATCAGAGGTGATATGTGATGATTTTTTTTCATGCATTTACCCATGTTTATCCGTGACATTGTGTAAATGTCCATGGCGGACATTTGAAAGTGAGTAGATGACAAACAGTACAGTAAACTTGTAGATAACGCAAATATATGTAATAACTTAGGTGGAAATTGCTTTAACATTTCATGCAGCCTACATGCAGCCTCTCGGCTCGGCAAACGGTAAATAACCCCGCTGGCTTCTCTACGTGTCGCTTCCGTATGCAGTCAGTGGAGCCCAAATGAATACGCCGCGATGCTACGCTGACGTGATGCTTATGTTTGCAGCCGGTGGAGCCCGGCCGTTACTCAAAATGCAAGAGCAGTCTGTTACCGCTCAAAAAGAGCAATTACCCTTAATTAAATTGCAACACCCCTACTTGGAAAGTAAGCGAATAAATGCAGTTCTCAAAATGTTGAACTATTCCTTCAGACATGCACATTTCTCAAAAATAACAAAAAATATCACAGCTACAGAGAAGGTTTAATTTATCGTTGATTACAGGAGAAAAAAAAAGCAAAAAACGAGAGCTACAAAGGGAAGAGGCAGAAGGAAGAATTGAATTTCCCTGTATAGTATCTGCCTATTTCTGCTGGCGGCATCCTTCAACTCATTTTCTTCAGAACTGACTGGAATGACTGACAGGAGGATAAAGTAGAGTGACAGAAATGCTTGTGCAAGAGTTTTGGCTCCAACACACGGCAGTGGAATCAGCTCTTAAATGGGGATCAGAGTTGTGCTGATACACCACCATCAGCTTTTACTTATAACTTAGGGAGGGACTTGAGGAGTTGAATGGGCAGGTGATGAGATGTTGTAAGGGAGGTAGAGCTCCTGTGTGCAACAATATACGAGTCACTACAGAGCCAAAAGAGTTCAACGCAGTTTCAAATGCTTCTTCTCATCCTCACTGTGGTGCTGTTGCTTCATACTGAGCCCAGTCTAAACTTGTCTTCCCAAACTGTCTCATTTCCAATTATTTTTTTGTGACATTCTCTGTGTTTTTTTGAAACGTATGTCACTGAAATTGCTCATTATTTCTCAAAATTTGTAGTTACTGAAAATGTCTGAAAACCATGTGTTCTGTGAAAAACAGATTACCTCTCTCTCTGTGTCTCTCTCCTTCTACCATCTCTTCACTTGCTAACTAAATTAATGACAGAGACTCTCCAACAACACATTGCAATTTCACGCTCAATTTGAGGGGCACAAATAGTCCAGAACATCCCAAAATTCAGTCCCGCTCTTTCTCTTTTCTCTCTTTATCGTTCTCTCTCTTCCCCACAGTTAACCTCCCCTCCTCTCCCCTGCCCTTCACTTCCTGTCCCCGCTCTCTATTTTTGAGGATTATGTAAATCAATTAATGAAATAACACAAACCAATGACCCCGTCCCCACCTCTTTCTGCTCCCGTTGTTTATTTCTCGCTCTCTTGTTAATTTCCGAGGGCTAATGGAGTGGATAATTGAATGGTGTATTTTAGGTCGCGTTGCCATTTTGCTCTGTCAATGGCTTTGGTAAGCACTGAAAAGGCTCCTCTCTGTGTCTCTGTGAGTCACTCATTCTTCTTCACACTCTGTAACCTTTAGTTCATATGCAGCTTAGAGAGAGTTATGCATGTTGTTATGCATAGTGGACATTTGTTTTTGGGATGTTTTGAGGGCACAGAGAGGAGGCCTCAATTTTGGAGGAAATATGACTTTCTCATCTGCATTCAGGATGCAGTATTGTGTGTGTTTGTCTTGAATGTGTGTTGGTTGGAGACATGGTTTTGGCTAAGGGCAGTTCATTATGATTAAGTAAATTTATTTATGTATTTTAAGAGAAAATGTTAAATAATGCAAAGAACACATTAGTGTGTTTCTTTTTGGTCGCATTATAAAGTTATTTTAGCCACTACATTCTTTCTTAGGAAGTTTTTGGACAAGTTGAAATGTGATTTTGGCAATAAAATGCTAATGCACAGGGGATAATGGCTTAATATTTTATTTCATGCATTAGTTTGATACTTGAGTTGAAGTAACCAGGTGCCTCAGGGACCACTGAACGTGTTTTATGATGTTTTTAATGCAATGAGCAGGTATATTACATATTCAGTCTCCTGATGCACATACTCACACTGTCTAATAAATAGCAATGAAATATCAAAGGAAAAACACAGACTCATACGTTGTCCATTTTTACTGGACAAAAAAAACAAAAAAACAATATCAACAGTGCACAAATTGTTGATATATACATTTAGTAAAGCCCAGAGGAAGAACTATCAACATAATATCTTGGACCTACAGTATTATATTAGGTTTTGATAAAACTTCACACAGGGATGACGTTTATTTGTAGGCAAAAATGTAAGTTAGCATTGCCCTTGCTCCCTGGACAAAAAGACAAGAGGATTTTTTCTATTGGATGTTGTATTACAACAATGCCACTACACCGAGGCTACAAAGCTGTTTTTGGCGTGATGATGGTCCGCAGTCTGGGTCCATGTCATTGGTTCGACAGCCCATTGGTTCGACATCCCATTAGTCCGACTGTCCGTGGTGCTGAACGGCTCGCGGCGGGCATATGGTGCGTCGCGACCGGCCTGAGGCGGAGCAGGCTCATGGTTATGTGTTTGTCACTTTCTTTTTCATTTTAACCCACACCATGATCTTTTCCTGACCCTAACCCTAACAAAGTGGTTTTTGTGCCTAAACCTAACCAGACCTTAACCACAGGGCATCATGATGATTTCGGAACGGACTTCGGAACAATGAGTTTAATATGGTCGGAACAATGGGATGTCGAATCAATGGGCAGTTCCCCGCAGTCTTATTTAGCCACTTGTTAGCAGCTGTCTTTTAAGAAACACAAAGGCATCAATTTTTTTGGGAGGGGTATTCACTGTCGTATTTTATGTTGCAGAACAAAGTGTGAAAGTGTCTTTAGCTTGTGTTAAACACAGGCCTTATTTCAGGCATCTAACAAAAAACAATTCAGAAAACCTACTGACTTTGAGCTAAAATGCTAACTTGTTTCCGGGTTTTGAGACCATTCTATAGGTGTGTCATATTCATTAGAATATTAACAGGGAAAGTATTCAGTTTCTGTTTTTTATTTATTTCACTTTAAAGGTTCTGTATGTAACTTTCAGAAAATCTTTAGTGACACCTCTTTCTGAGTTGATTGGGTAAACTGCAGTTAGCATCCTGTTGATTGTGCCCACGTCCTGTGGCCATAAGTGAGCACCTGGACATTGGCAAATACCACAGACTGTGTAGTAAGATAGACAATGCATCTCCACTTCCTCCTTCTACACAAAGATGAAGCAAAAAAATGGTGGATATGGCCATCTTGTGCTGGTAACATAATTTAGAGCCAGAGTCTGTGCAGTAGAGATCTCAGCCATCAAGTTCTGGCCCATGCACCTGTTCAACCAATAGGGAGCAGTGCCCTTGATCATGAGCACACGATTGGCACACACAGTCATGTGGTCAGACTACTTTTTATAGCATCAATTAACTAGTTATAATCAAACTTATCAGAAAATGAGAGGGTGGTGCAGGATCAGACCCCTGGCACTCCGTCTTGCTCTGGCTGAATTTGAGTTGCTACAGGGCACTAAGTGAAGGTTCATCTCCACTCGGCTGCCACTGCAAAATGTATACAGTGAAAACACAGCATGTGTGAAGTCTGTGTTGTGGTGGGTGCTGCTCATTCACTGACATTAGTGGACTTCATGTCTTGGCTAATGTTGGCCAGTGTCGCAAAGAAGCAAGGCACTCATGAGCACGCATAACATCACATACTTTGGATTTTCCTGGAAAACTCGCCCCAAGTCTTTCACATAAAAATCAGTCTATGGGTTGTTATAGGCAACCAAGAAGGTCTGGGAAGGAACATTACAATCTGTACACCTATTGGCAATAAAAATGATTTACACATGTAAAAAGTTACAAGTTACATACATAACCTTAAAAGCTGCATAAAAAAATATTATGGCATCTTGGGGGCAGCAGAAAAAGCTGTAAACACAACACTGACAAATGGTCATCTTATGTGCTTGTTTTGGCAAATGTGTTAGCAAGCTATTGCCTATTGATAAAGCCAGCAGACACAGAGCAACATTAGCATTCATTTGGAGTCTTGTTTCTAATGAATTTAGGTCCAATATTCACTTTCCTTTTAGCTCTGGATCTTGGTCTCTAACAGCTGCTAAATGCTCCACTATGTCCACCTGCTAGTCTCTAACTTTGTCTGTCTGTCTTTGGTGGTTTATCAGAGCTTGTTAAGTAAAATCAGCTGCCTGTCAAGGATAACAAAAGGATCAAGGAGAGCAGTGATAGTGACCCAATGTTTAAAGTTTCGACCAAAACAATGTGCTGAAAGATGTCAGAATGCTCTGTGGAGCTGAGGGACACTACAGAGTCAGGTGGTAACTCTGCACATAGTTATCTGTTCATTGGTAATATATAAATATCAATCACTGCATCTTTAATGATTCTCCCTACTGTATAAATCACCAGGAAAGCTGTACATATTACTGTAACAAAGACAGACTACATTTAGTGCATGTGTAAAAATGTTTGGGAAAATTTTAAATGTGCGTTTATGTGATAAACAGTTAAATGAAACAGATGAACCTCCCTACAGTCTAATCTAAATCTAATCTCCACTCAGTGTCCCTGCAGCTAGCAAGGCCAGAGATGACATTAACATGATGGATAAGTGTGTGTGTATATGTGTGTGTGTGTGTGTGTGTGTGTGTGTGTGATGAGTAGACTGACAAATCAGTATACCACAGTATATCTGCCCTTTTTCCTGATACTCAAATACTCTTATTGCATGTACAGCCACATGCCCTGCAAAACTGTCTTGAAGTTTTTTCATCATTATAAAAATTCACAGTATTCAGTGTACATGTTGAGATTACACACATTTGTGCTTGTGAGTATCTGTAGGCAATAGTTGCAATACTTACTGTCAGCCTCCAGTGTAAACTATCCTCAAACATTTACTGTGTTAGTAAAATGAATGGGGATAGACAGACAAGTAGATGCTGTGTGCCTACATGTGAATGGCAGTAAGTGTTTTCCCCTTTCGATGTGTCAATAATGGAATTGTGCATCTCTGTGCACCTGTGTGTGTGTGTGTGTGTGTGAGAGTGTGTGTGTGTGTGTGAGTGTGTGTGTGTGTGTGTGCGCCGCCAGGTCACAGCATTGACAGATAGAGCAGTACCAGTCATATATCCCCTCCGGTTAGACAGAGAGTGACACGTAACCCCAGAAATGATGACAAATTTTGTGTGTGTGTGTGTACTGTGTTCACTCGATACATCCTGTGCAGTGTGTGTGGGAATGTGTGGTTGCGAAACTGAAATACAGACATTAACTATGCTGTGAAAGACACAGATTGTGTTTGTAGAACTTTCATAAGAAAGTGAAATCATGGATGTGAGAAGAACTGTGTCTGAGGAAGAGCAACACTGTGTTGTGTTGTGTGTGTGTGTGTGTATGTCTGTGTACATGTGACTTACACCTGAGATCATACACAGACATGTGTGTCTGTAAGTGCGTTATGGTGAAGATCCTCATACATTGTTATTTATTCTGACAGAGTGATGAATTCTGGGTATTGGGGGTTATAAAGGCCCACAGAGAGAGAGACAGGATGTGTGTGTGTTTGTGTGTGTTGTGAGGAAGGACGAAGAGAGGAGTAGACAGACATACATACAGACAGACAGATAGATGGATACTTACTACTGCTGGGTATTAGATCTCTGTCTGGTATAAACAGCTTGTATCCATAATGTTTCTCTAAAACATCTGGCAAGATCTCCAAAGCAAATGTTTCCTCATCACTGCTCGCCCGGCTGTGGAGGAGAACAACAATTACGTGCCAGATTCAAAATCAAATAGTCAAATGAGCACCTGGTGGTTGCAAATGCATTTTAAGTGGTTAACAGTTAAGCATCCTGTAAAATTCATCTAAATTGACCTAAAACACCTATCCAAGGCATACCCAAAATAACCTGAGAGCTGTCCTTGTTCCATTTTTTGTACATGCACATGCATGGTCTCATTTGAAAGGTAACATTTGGAAGATCTTTCCCCAACAGTCAGACCCCATGCGAACAATATTCTCTACCATGACTTGGGGGGCACAGTGGTGCAGTGGTGAGCACTGTCACCTGACAGCAAGGAGGTTCTGGGCCTCTTTCTGAATGGAGTTTGCATGTTCTCCCTGTGCCTCGTGGGTTTGCCCCGGGTGCTCCGGTTTCCTCCCACAATCCAAAAATATGCAGGTGAGGTTAATTGGCAATTCAATTCGGATTTATTTTCTTTGTTAATCAATATGTTACTGTGTTAAATAAAATATCAAAATAAAATATAAATATATGATTTTTTTTTTCTGAGAATTTAGGAGAAATAAAGAATGCCTGCAAAGTCTCTTATGAAGCAAGACCAGTAAGAGTGGGCTTCTTTGCTTCTGAAGCTCTGCAGCTAACAGGAGTAAGGCTGATATCATTTGTAACTTGAGCACAGTAGTAGGGTGTAACATGAACACCCAAAGCACTTCAACAATGTCCAGGGCCATGTGTTCTCAACAGGAAAATAATGACTTAACCTGCAGGTTGTACCTGTGTTTTAGTGTGAACATTAAAAAGATCTTTAAGCTGATTTTCAGATGCCCTACACAACTCAGCATTTTTTTCCCCATTTTTTATTCATTAACATATATGGTTATTACTTAAAATATGCATTCATACAAACACAAACCTACCAAACCTGGCAATCTCACTGTAATGACCCCGGATGCTGCACAAATTCATCATTATGTCATTACGTCTGCATCTCGTTTACCAAGAACTAGTTCCAGTGAGTATCACCCTCTGAAACCACAAATTTTTTACATCTCTGTTTATGGATGGTGTAAATTAGTGAGCTTTAGAGAGAACCAGGGCAGCTGTTTCCTTCTGCGCCATCAGTGTCACAACTCCCTTACCACTGAACTTCTCCTTTAAGCAATGGAAGCTGTTTAAATCTACATTTAAACATAGCAAGCTTTTAACATCCAGCGAACATGATTGAAGTAAGCAGGGGCTTTTCATGCTGCAGAACCACTGTTGTTAGCAAGATAAGAAATGTGTACAGAGGTAACTGACCTGCCCAAACAGTCAAGGTCCACTTTAGTGTAGGACAGATAGGCATCATACTCCTTATTATCTGTGAAGAGAGAGACATAGTAAGAGAGAAAACTACATTTTAAACAGCATCAACTAACCATATCCTGAATGATGATACTTTCTGATCATCCTTCATCTGGACTAGAGGAGAATAAATGGAAAGAGCAATTCACCTTTAGGGCATGAGATCTTGGGAATGCCCTGCTAAGGACATTAGACTGACTTATTTGTAATCAATACTTTCAATCAATACTACAAAATTATGTCTTTGTAATTTTCAACAACAAAAAAAGACATAGGCTGTTTCTGGTTTAACAAAAAAACAATCTTGTCTCTGTAGGGATCTTTTGCTTTCGGTGGAAAAAACAAGAACTGTCAGTGAACGTACACTGCACAGATGCCCCGAATGGTTACACTGCAGCCTGTATCACAGGTGCTGCCTCTCTCTCACTTAATGCTAGACCAATTTCAGCATGGGAAAATGATGTCTAAGTTGATAAAACCCAAATCACTATTTAGATGTAAACTTGATCTAGTGTAATTGTTGTGTATCTTATTCTTTTTATTGCCTCATTAACATGCTTCTATCATCACTTATTACTTTTTTCACTCACACTCACTCATTATCGAGTGAGTACAGCATTTAGCAATAGGTTGGGTACATGGACATTTTGCAGAAACCTCTTGCATGCCCTCTACTGTATTCTTGTTGCTGCCTGTCATGTCTTAAGTTCTCTGCTCTTCATGGTGCAATATGTATGTTGAAATACGCCCTGATTCTGTTGTGAGTTACCTTTTTGAACACCGCTGTTATTTGATTGTCCTGAATTCAAAGTGAGCTCAAAATTAGACTAACCATCTTCAGTTTCATCACTTCCAAAGTGTCTCCTGTAACAGAGCATGATCTCCAGGTTGTAACACTTATAAAGTGCTGTGAGGACTCCCAGCAGCAACAGTATGACCCCCAGACCTCCAGCCAGCTCCAGACGATACATATCTACAGTCGGTGAGATACAGGAAGGGAAAGAGTAAAAAAGAATTTGATGAGATCATACAGTGTATCAGTTATTGTTCACAGGATCTCTGATGATGAGGCGGTAAATCCTAAAAAATCATATTTTCTTCAATATTTCAGACTTTAAACACTGTTTGACTCAAGCTCAGTTTTGTTTATGTTGATTTTCTTCTGTGCTTATTACAAACTGGTTTGCTCACGGCTAAGCACACCAAGTCAATTTTATTTCAGGAAATGTAAAAGAAATGAGAACTTAAATTACCTTCAGATTGGCACATTTTCTAAATTGGTGACGAGGACTGGGGCTCATTCACTCACGCAAATAAACATTTGTACAAACAATAGATGGTGGGATTGTTTTTTGAGGAGTCACAGCTGTATTAAGAGTTTCTGTTAACAGTCTGCCTAACACTCTCACCAAAAAGCACACTGAACTGAACTGTATTGACTGAATGAGGCATAAAAAGACAGACAGACAGACAGACAGACAGACACACACTGACCCAGTGTGTAAGACATTGTACAGTAACATGACTTCTGTAAAACCACAAAAACAAACTGCCTGTCAAGAGCTGCTTAATTGGGAGCTAACTGTTAATGTCTGTTTCTTTCATATTGAAATTCACTTAGGACTTGATCTTCTCTGCAGGCAGGTCAGAGGTCAGAGGCTAAGTGTGTATCACAGTTCAACATTTAATTAAAGCTCCATTAGGCAGTATTTTGATGTCAACACTGAATGACACGACTCCCAGTAATGTGAAAGCTGTACAAACAGATCCCTCTGCAGCTCTGTGCAGCTCAGAGCCAGCGGCACGGGGGGCATTAGGGAGCAATGCTTGTCCAAATACGCTTCTGTGCTCCCCCCAAATTCTTAAAATTCATTATATTATAATGAACATAAAATAGGATAAACATGTATCGATAAATGATTAAAACAGTAATTTGTAAATGAATTCCTAAGTTAAAAATACATATATTAAAATCATAGTCAGGCTGGCATAACCTCCCTAACGCCACCCTTTGACAGAGATGCCTACCACTGAAACATCTAGCACCTGTACATGATCTTTATTGGAGGTGGGGAAGTTCACCTAATTCACATTTGACCCTCAATCAGTTTTACCGCATCCCTTAAGGTCCAGTGTGTAAGATCTGGGAGATATGGTGGCGTCTAGCAGTGAGGATTACAGACTGCCAACAAGCGGGGACCTCCAGGGTTGAAAAATGAAGCTAGGACCAAAAACTGCAGTTCCCCTAACGGCCACTTGAGGCTGGCTCCTTATGACCACAACAAGCTGAAACCTGATTAGAATTACTTTAGTGTTTATTGTTTTAGAGTTTTTTTTACCGAGAGCAGAATTATCTGTAGAGGTCTCTTCCTCTCCAAAACAAACGCACTGCTCCAAAGCCCTCTAATACGTGGTCCAGCTATAAACTACATTTTGACCTAATCTTGTTTCTCTGATAACTTAATGTGTGCTCACCCTAATTATGATCTAGATGTTCAGAAGATTTTTACTGGGAGCCGAATTATCCACAGATGTCTCCTCTTTTTCAAAACACATGGACCCGCTGATTTAAACTGGTAAAAACACAGAATAAAGCAGTTTGCTGTTAAACAATCAGAGTTTATCCTACGCTGTTGGTGCACATGGGCCTCTAACTACAGTGGCAGATGCGAAAACGCAAAAAACAAAAATGCAAAAACAAGAATGGCCATATCTAAAGCCAGTGTTTGGTGTAACTATTCTGGGCTGCTGTAGAAACATGGCGGTGCAACATGGCCACCTCTGTAGACAACGACTCACGCACATTGGTTTTTGTTGTCTATGCTGAAACATATTGGTGATGCTTCTGATGCAAGTGTTGTGCTGACTTTACAGCAAATCAAAAATAGAGGAACCACCTGTTCTGTATTTTAAAGAAGCTGCAAACAAGAAGTTGGCAAAACACACAAAGTTTGCCTCACCACAAAGTATGTTGTCTTGACTGAGAGAGACAGATGACCCCTCGTCACCATGTTAGACACACACATCCGTGGTCTCAATTGTGTGTGTGTGTGTGAATGAATGATAGTGCTATCATAGGCAATATGAGTGTATGGGAGATTAATGGAACATGGCTGGTGAATGACACCATGGGAAATATGATCTATTACTATCTCACTCACTTACGTGCACACACACACACACACACACACACACACACACACACACACACACACACACACACACACACACACCTCATGTTGTCCCTGTGTCTCTTCCTGGAACCACTTCATTTTAAAACTGGTGCTTTTTTGACTTGACACACACACAATCTAGTCTGATCATCTTTGCAGCATAAGTGAAATTGTTTTTAACTAAACAATATCCCCTAACATTAAAAAGAGCTTACAGTGCTAGTGTGTCATCATTACTGTAAAGCAGCAGTCAGCAGGTTTTTGTTGCCACCTAGGAGGACAACGCCACCTAGTGGCCTGTTGCACTGTCAGATGTAATTATCTGAGGGGACACTCTCCCACTACCATCTATTTTTGCCTCGCTTTTATGTTTTCATACTACTAATTCCTTTTTATGAATGATGACATACAGTGTGTACTGTATACACAGGGTCAGTTTGAAGATTAACTGTATGTAGATTTTATGACTTGCCTCATAGGGTAGATACAAAAGGTACAAAAAGACAAAAGTTAAGACAAAATCATACAATCATTATACCACTGGCTAAATTCCAGTGATCAAAACGTTAAGCATTAAGATCTCACAGTGAAATTGCCGGTTCCTTTGTTCCCTTGCCAGTTTAGTGATAGTGTGTATAGCACCTACAGTGCCTGCATGTCACAGTGTAAGCACTCCCTTTTAAGTGCCACTGTTCATCTGACATTTCACTGAACTGTAACTCTGAAGGCATCAGTCAGAGCTGTAGTGATCATAAAGGCGCACAATCACGAGCTGAATTATAATAACCTACTACTATACAAATTAAAGAAACTACACTAGTAAAATGGTTCAATCGTGTAACACCAGGAAGGGTTAATTTGAGAAATACCTTACATGGGCAGTGATGGAAGAAGATCCTTTTAATGTAAAGTACTACAATGAAAAATTAATCTAGTCCTGCATTCAGTTTTTTGGAGTATGTAAAAGCACTACAAGCAAAATGTAAGAGCAGACTGACCTCTGTCAGTGTTAGTTTATTACACAATATATTACTTAACTGTTATTACTAATAAATGAAAATGTATCGCTGCATATATTATTTTGTACAATTTGTAAATCTTCCAGTAGACACCCTGGGTAATCCATCAATGCCTAGATACAAGTGTGTGTGTATCAGCCTGATTGTACTTTCATCATTTAATAGACAAATTAGTAATCAACACATATAACACCAGGCTCCATCAACATTTGCATCCTCCAAGATTACTAACAACATCAGATTCAGAGTAGCTCAGCTGTGGAAGAAGTATCATCATATCTGAGGTTATTGTGTGAGCAAAACTGCTTGAATTTCTACATGTATGTTATATAGCCTTCTTTCACTTATTAGCATTTATAGTAGTTGTGATATACTGTACTTGTAATAGTAACTGGCATATGTATTTATGTTATATTCACTGTAGTGCTGGGAAGTATTAGCCATTGATTTTACTCTATATAATTCTGTGGCCTTTTTCAATGTTCTTTTAAATGTTAGGCTCATGTTTTTTTCTTCATTGATACATTTAGAGTTTAAATTTTATTTACTTTCTTTTTATGAAACATTATTTGAAGCCCCTTTGGGTATTTCTTTATCCCACCAGCACAATCCTTTTTACGCCTTTAAAGGACTACTTCAGCCACAACATGACCATTTGTTTATTAACTAGTCACTCTATGTAACCGTGAATTTCTGAAGAAAACTTCATTTTTCTTGCATGCCTCCACAGAAAACGGAGAACATATTGTTTCATACTGTTTCTGTGTATATTATCAAACTGACTGACATTATGATGTAAGGCCTTTTTGATGAGTTGAAATGGGTAAATATTGATGTTTTTTCTCAGTAATAATCTCCCACAAGGCACCAATCATATCTTTTATTAACCACCACAGTATTTAATCCGCCTGAAGTTACCACACTTCACCAGCAGACGTCTCTCCAACTCTACTCTGAGCTGCTGCGCCACTTTTGCATAAACAGAGACATTAAGGAGGAGGTGGGACAGCGACAGAGTGGGGGAAAAGGAGGGAGGGATGGAGCGGTAGTCCGAGGGGGGAAGAAAAATAGTGAAATTTAACTAATTACCAAATATTTGCTCTGCTGCGAAGTGAACTCAGATTGCTTCCATTAGTAATGAGACACATTTAGAAACCTCTGCTTCTCCCTCCATCCACCTCTCTCTCCCCTTCCCCCATGTTCCTCTCTGCCGCCCCCCCCCCCCCCCCCCCCCCCCCCCCCCCCCCCCCCCCCCCCCCCCCGTCACCACTCCCCCTTTCATCTATCTCTCTCAGATATTTTCCATTAGTAATGAGTCACTTGCTGCCGTCTCCTGATATCAGTGCACAGGAAAATGAGAGCAGAATTTGAACACTGAATTTTATTATGCTTTTAACTTATTAGGCATAAAAAGAGAAGTCATCGGTACAGGTGGAGGTGTCTGCATGTGTGGGGAGGAACATGATAAAAGAAGTTTCAATGAGATCTTTTACATAACTTTCCTCCCTGCCATGCTCTTTGTCTCTCCGAACAACCAAACACTGAAAATGACACCACTGCCCTTACTCTTCCTCTCCGTCTTTTAGTTCTCATTTTTCTTCCGCTGGCTTCATTAGAAGAGCATTTAGCATCTGTTGCAAAAGCAGTTTGTCAAGATACAACATTAATGGTTCTGAAATAAAAATAGCCCTAAAGTTTGTCTCCCAACCTACCATCTGTCTCATCATTCACTGGAACCAGGAGATGCTGAAATGCCTTAAGATGCAGTGTCTTTGGAGGTA